TTTCCTCTTAGTACCACTTTTGCCATGTCCCAGAGGTTTTAATCAGTTGTGTCACTAATATTGTTAAGTTCGAAGACTTTTTAAATTTCTATCTTGATTTCATTGTTGACCCAATAATCATTCAGGAGCAGGTTATTTAATTTCCATGTATTTCCATGGTTTTGAGGATTTCTTTTGGAGTAGATTTCCAATTTTATTCCACTGTGATCTGAGAAAGTACTTGATATAATTTTGTAAACTTACTGAGGCTTGTTTTGTTGCCTTTCTTGGAGAATGTTCCATATACTGATGAATAGAATGTATATTCTTCAGTTGTTGGGTAGAATGTTCTGTAAATATCTGTTAAGTCCATTTGTCCTAGGGTATAGTTTAAGTCCATTATTTGTTGACCTTCTGTCTTTATGACCTGTCTACTGCCATCATGGGGTATTGAAGTCCCCCACTATTATTGTGTTGCTATCTTTCTCATTTCTTAGGTATATTAGTAATTTTTTTATAAATTTGAGAGCTCCAGTATTAGGTGTATATATATTTAGGATTGTGAAATTGTCTTGTTGGAGTAGTCCTTTTATCATTATATAGTGTCCCTCTGTCTTTTTAAACTATTTTTGCTTTAAATCTGTTTTATCTGATATAAAAATAGCTATTCCTGCTTGCTTTTGGTGTCCATTTCCTTGGAATATGTTTCTCCACCCCTTTACTTTAAATTTATGTGAGTCCTTATGTATTAGGTGAGTCTCTTGAAGACAGCAGATACTTGGTTGGTGAATTCTTATCCATTCTGCTACTCCAGATCTTTTAAGTGGAGCATTTAGACCATTTACATTCAATTTTAGTTTTGAGATGTGAGGTACTGTTCTATTTATTGTGCTAGTTGTTGCCCAAATACCTTGCTTTTTCTTTTCCCATTGCACTATTATTTTATAGGTCTTGTGAGATTTATGCTTTAAGGAGGTTCTATTTTGGTGTCTTTCAGGGATTTGTTTCAAGATTTAGAGCTCCTTTCAGCAGTTCTTATAGTGCTGTCCCCCACCCCTAAACAGCACTGAATTTATTTCCAGGCAATCTGTGAGCAGGGCTGAAAACTTGCCCCAGACTACAAGCCTCCCCTCTGAGAAAGCAAGCAGAGCACTTGGGTTTCACACCTCCCAACTTGCTGCAGCCTCTGTGCTTGTATCTGCACTTCCTGTTTACCCCCCAGCCCCAGGTTCTGTCCAGGAAAATTTGTATTCCATTGAAATTGTTACAAAGTTAAGCTGGAAGTTTCCTTTTCCATGTGGTCTTTCCCCAGTTCCACTCAAAGCCCTCCCCAAGGACCCCTGTGAGACAAAGTCAGAAATGACTTCTCTGGAGACCAAAAGTGCACCTAGTGCTCATCCCACTGCTTCCTCTACCCCTATATTTCACTTGGCTCTCTAAATTTGTCTCAATTCCAGATCCTTCTCCCATGATCTGGACCTTCAGTTTCCCCAGTGATGATGCATGTTAAGGGGTGGATGTTCCCCCTTTCACACTTTGGACATTCACAGTTTTTCAGCTTGCCTGAGGTGGCAAGCTACTTCTTTCAAGCTGTCTGTGAATTCTCTTGGCTTTCCTGGTGTGTTCCTGTGGCAGTTCTTAGAGCAAAAGTTCATGGTGTGAGTCTCCACATGCTGCTGTGTCTGTCCGAGAGGGAGCTGCAAGTTAGTTCTGCCTCTTGTCTGCCATTTTTTTTTTCTCTCCAGGCAATGGAACAATATTTTTTGTGTGCTTAATAAAATAACTCCAATCCCTGAATTCTACACTTACAGGAAATATTCGTCAAAATAAAGATAAAATTAAGGTGTTTTCAGACATGAAATCTGAGGTTATTCACTGCTATCAAGTCTGCAGTTAAAGAAATACATACTTTAAGTAGATAGAAAAAAATCAAAAATTTGGAAACATGAAACTGCAGGAAGGAATGAATCACAATAGAAAAGGTTATGTGTGATTACATATAAGGGAATACACATTGTGTCAAAAAATAATTGTAACATATAATAAAATTTGAAATAATATGTAGAACTGAAATGTATGAAAATTATAATGTAAGAGTTCAGAAGGTTAATACACTTAAATGTTTTACAATTTTGGAAGTATTAAGAAACATAAAATTATAGCTATATTTTATCATCTCTGGGGTAACAGCTAAAAGACTAGTAAAATAGTGTGCACGTACATGTTAACAAAAGGAAAAACTCGTAAAAACAAGAAGGGAAGAGAAAAAATATGTAACAAGTGATTCAAATTCAGACAGAAAACAAATGGCAAGGTAGAAAATAGCTATATCAATAGTTATATTAATGTAAACATACTAAATACACTAAGTAAAATACAAAGATTTTCAGGCTACATCTTAAAATATGGAGAACTATAGTCATCTGTCACATAATGACATTTTGATCCACGACAGAGTGCATACATGATGGTCGCATAAATATAATATTATATTTTTACTGTACCTTTCCTTCATTCACATATGTTTGGATACACAAAATACTTACCACTGTGTTACAGTTGCCTATAGTGTTCAATTCAGTAACATGCTGTACAGGTTTGTAGCCTAGGACCAATAGGCTATACCATAAAGCCTAGGTAATGTGATCTAGATTTGTTTAAGTATGCTTTGTGATGTTTGCACAATGACAATATCACCTAATGCCACGTTTCTTAGAATATATCACTGCCATTAAGTGATATCAGACTATATATGGTGTTTATACAAATCACACTTTAGGTATAAAAACTGAGAAAGCTTGAAAGTAAGGTGATTAAAAATATATGTCAGATAAACAAGAAGAATCAGAAATATCTCAATTGTGTGAAAAGTTAAAAAATTAATTTATAAATACACACCAAGGTTAAAAAAAGACATACAATGGAAATTTAAAAATATTTTTCATTAAATAAAAATAAAGAAACCATAACAATGCTTATAAGTTGGAATTTATTCAGTGCTTAGAGGGGAATTTACAGCCTTAAAATCATAAATTAGAAAAAAATACAAGCTGAAAAATCAATGATTTAAACTTTAGCTTAAGAAAATAACAAAATGAACAAGAAAATCTAACCTATAGTAAGTAGAAGGAAAGAAATAATAAAACAAGAATAGATGTGAAGTAAATTAACAACAATTGTATGAACAGGAAATCAACAAAGCCTCTAAGTTGGTTCTTTGTAAAGAATAGTAAAATTGATTGTCTAGCAAAACTCATTAAGGGAGTAAAAGCACAAATATCAGAAAAGAAAATGGGACAGTACTACAGGCTCTATTTTAGACGTTGAAAAGAGCAAAGGAAGATTTTATGAATGACTTTATAGCAATATATTTGACTATTTAGGTAAAATGGGCAAATTCCTAGGAAATACAACTTTCCAAAACTGAGTAAGGAAGATATAACTAATCTGGTACTGATACCTAGTAAAGAAATTTAATCTATTGTTTTAAAAAAACATTCCCACCAACAAAGCCCAAGGCTCAGATGGCTTCACTGGTGAATTCTTCCAAACTTTGTAAGGATAACATCACTATATATGTATATTAAAACACAAGTTTGTATACTTTAAATATGCATGATTTTTATTGTAAAAAGAATAACACCAACGTTTTACAAATTTTATTTTAGTCTGTTTGGACTGCTGTAATGTAGCAATGATTGGTTGGTTAATAAACAACAGAAATTTACTTGTCACCCTTTGGGAGGCTGAGAAGAGATCAGTCTTTCTGGCTATTTTTTTGGTACCCATTAAACATTCACTTCTCCGTCCCCCAGCTACCCTTCCTAGCCTCTGATAATCATCCTTCTACTCTATCTGCATAAGTTCAATTGCTTTAACTTTTAGTTCCTACAAAGTAGTGAGAATATGTGAAGTGTGTCTTTTTGTGCCTGGCTGATTTCACTTAACATAATGACCTCCAATTTTTTTCATGTTGTTGAAAATGACAGGATCTCATTCTTGTTTATGGCTGAATAACTAAAAGAATATAATTGTATTGTTTGTAACACAAAGGATAAATGCTTGAGGTGATGGATACCCCATTTACCCTGATGTGATTATTATGCATTACATGCCTGCATCAAAATATCTCATGTAATCCATGCATATACACACCTACTATGTACCCACAAAAATAAAAAATTAATAATTAAAAGGAAGTTCTAAATCAAGGTGTCTGGTGGGGGCTGCCCACCATCATAATGATGGTTGTCTTTATGCTGTGTTCTCACATGGTGGAAGGGGCAAGGGGGGCTCTCTGGGGTCTTTTTTTACGGGCACTAATTCCAGTTATGAAGACACCCTCATGACCTAATCATCTCCAAAGGCTCTGCATCCTAATCCCATCACATTAAGTGTTAAAATTTTAACATATAAAGTTTGAGAAAATATAAAACATTCAGTCCACTACACTCTTCTGGATAATACAAAAAGAGGGAATATTTACTCTTTCTAAGGGCAAAAGTTAACTTTAATACCAAAACCTAACTAGGACATAATAAAAAGGAAAATTAGAGATACTTCTTTTTCATGGATATAAGTGAAAAAATAATTAACTAAATATTAGCAAAATGAATCCAGTGAGGTTTAAAAAACCCTCAAAACAAAATGAGATTTACTCTAGACATGCAAATGTACTTTGTCTCATTGCTTGCTATTCAAATGTGTCACTAGAGTCTTTGAAATTTTCACAAGTCTAATGTTATTTGAGGGCATGCTTCTATTTAAAAGTGGTTTTGATTCAGTATGTCAAAATACATTTTTAAGGGTAATGAGTAAGGTATTTGTTTTCATAATTGCAAATAGAAACAAAAGATGAAGTTACCTGAACTTCACCAGTGAAAAAATAAAACTGACATTATTGCATAAATATTAGTAGATAACTATAGAATTATATTGCAATGTTCTTTACCTTTCTTCTTCCAACGATTCAGTTTTGAAGGAAGGTAAATAGATCTCTCTGAAAATTATTCGGCTTCTAGGTGTTCCTTGATGAGCTCCCTGAGGATTTCAGTGATGCTTTAGATGAGTATAACATGAAAATTATGGAGGACTTTACCACTTTCCTACGAATTGTTTCCAAACTGGCTGATATGAATCAGGAATATCAACTCCCATTGTCAAAAATCAGTAAGTATATTTTACCTCCACTGTGGAACAATTTGAAGAATAAATAATCTTGCCTAAGAATAGTTTATTCTGGAAGAAGAGTGGAACCCCAGAAAGGTTATTCTGCCCTCAAGTGAGGAGATTCCTTTTCCTTTCTAAAGAAAAAAATTGTGCTTATTAGACATTAAAAGGGCAAAAGAGACTGAAACTAAGTAGAGCCATTTATAACCATCTTGTTAAATGCTGCTTCAGGGTCAAGCCTGGAAAACAGAGTAAGGGCATCTATGAGATGGAGAGAAACTAGGGACTAATTCTGGCACTCTGTCTTGAGAGGAAATATGCTTAGTGTTCATAAACACAGATTCTAAGCATATTTCCTGGGTCCAAACTCTGGCTCTGCTACTTATTAGCTGTGATTTCTTGAGCGAGAGACTCCATACTCATGCCTTAGTTTTCTGAATAGATATATGAGAAAGGGAATAGCATTATATACCTAGTTTTGATGAGTTTTAAATGATTAAATTAACATATATGAAGATCTTAATGTTTTGTACATGATTAACACTTTTAGCATTTGCTCTTTTTTTCATGAGCTAATAGATGGAAGCCTTCTAAGGGAAAATAGACACAAAAAGGTGACCGTCACAGGTGGGGTGAGACTGGAGTCTGTGAATATTATGCCTCAATTACAAATTAGACCAGTTTGAATGTCTGATCTGGGTTTTATAAGAATATCAATGGAAAATATATTTATTCTCATGCACTACTTCCAGACTTACTAATTGTGGTGCATGGTTTCAGGAAAGATTCTGAAGGCAAGTCTGAGTTCAGTAAGAAAAAGTAAAAAGGTTTGGGGAGGCTGAGGCAGGAGGATCACGAGGTCAGGAGATCGAGACCATCCTAACTAACACCATGAAACCCCATCTCTACTAAAAATGCAAAAAAATTAGCCGGGTGAGGTGGCGGGTGCCTGTAGTCCCAGCTACTCGGGAGGCTGAGGCAAGAGAATGGCCTGAACCCGGGAGGTGGAGCTTGCAGTGAGCCGAGATCGCAACACTGCACTCCAGCCTGGGTGACAGAGTGAGACTCCATCAAAAAAATAAATAAATAAAAAATAAAAGAAAGAAAAAGTACAAAGGTAATAATAATTGTCCGATAAGAGTATACAATTTAAATTTAGTCTTTCATTTCTTATTAAGGCAACTAAAATATAATACACATTTTTATAATAGTGATACTAACGTTAGTAGCCAACTTTCACTGGATGTATTCTGTGCCAAGCTGTGCTGCTCACCTTATGTGATCTAACTTACAAAACATTTCAGTCTTCATTACATGAAGCTGAGTGGCTCCCCTTGTAACATGGTCTAGAGAAAGTATCTGAGGTTTGACAACTTGCCTGAGTTCAAAACACTAATCTATCCCTAAGTATTATTGTCAGAATTCACAGGTAAAGAATGTGAAGACTCTCAACTCGTATCTCATTTGATGAGCTGCAAGGAAGGAAGAGTAGCAATTTCACCATTTGTTTGTCTGTCTGGGAACTTTGATGATGATTTGCTTCGACTAGAAACTCCAAACCATGTAAGTGAAGAGTGAGGTGTATTAATAAAAGGTGTTTAAGAAAGAATGGATTTATATTGCTAGGCAGCTTAGAAAGAACTTCAAATTTCCCAGATTAAAAAGGAAAAAAAAAATCTGGATGTATCAACAGATATATTCAGGAATTGGTGCTCTTGAAGTCAATATGATTTCAGTTTCTCAGAGTTGGCCTGAGGACCCTGCTCAGAGAGTTTCTAAGCACCACTACTTTTCTTCCATCTTTGAAGACTCTACTGATACGGACACAGGTTTGCTGTGGAAGAACCACGTAAAACTATCTTCAGGCTTTCCCAGTACTGCTGTAAGTGCTGTAAATACTACTTATAGTCTGCATCATTGATGCCTAAAATGGAATGCAAAGAACTAGACACATTTGGAAGATCCTGGCTAATTCATATGAATGTTGACACTTGGTGAAATTTAATTATTTTAATACAAACTTTGAGAAAACATATTTTATTACATTTGATATTATGGATTGACATTGGTGTCTCAACTCCAATACGTACATGTATTGGATTTTATTCCAAAATCATAGTCATGTATCACTTAAAATAATTTTGAAGACTGTATACATCTTGTGCATTTTAAATTAACACATACATTTTTATCCTAAATTTAAATACTTTCTGCAGATATAGTTTTTAGTTTCAAATAAATGTTGGTGTGTTAAAACCAATGCATCATTCTTTTAATTGTATAAAATGTAATACCAACAAGAAAGTGTTTTCATACCCATAGTCAGTAAGTTAAGAACAAGTCAGGAAAACTTTTTATAAGGATTTATAGATTTGCAGTTCTTTTTCTCTTGAACTCACATTTTCTTTCCATATTCCCTCACATTTACCTTACCCAACTCACTTTATACAAATGTACTTTACTAGAGTAAGCTATAACCTCTTAAACTTGTTTTGCTTTTATTATTTTAATTAACAAAATTAATTTTACATTTTAATATAATGCTAAGTATACATGCAAATATATCTTTTATAGCACATAGATAAGTTCTAAAGCATTGAACTTATCTATAGCATATAGATAAGTTCTAAAGCATTATTTTCTAGCATATAGATAAGTTCTAAAGCATGGACACCATGTACTGAGGATCGGTGTACTCCTCCCATGTTTCATTTTCTTGTCTCCCCTCTTCTCCCAGGCTATCAACCCTTCTAAACTTGGTGTTTTTCACTTTCCTTTTTAAAAACTACATATTATGAAATCCTTTTTTATATTTATTTGCTTTTGAATTTTGTGAAAAGTGAAGGAACAGTTACTGCAGTCACCTGAAAGTCGCTTTTATTTACATTCAGTGCTATGCCTTAAGGTTCATCCCTGTTGTAACATCAAACTTTTATTTTTACTATTTAATAATATTTTATAGCGTGAATATCAAACAGCCCGTTAATCTGTTCTCCTGTTTTGAATAGTTGTGTTTGTTTTTCATCTTTGCTATTACACACAGTGTTGCTATGGATGTCTCGTGTGTATGTGCAATAGTTTCTCTTAGGTATTGATTTTCTGGGTTAAAATAATTTTCTGAGTCATATAGGAAGAAGAATATTCAAATATTAAACTTCTCAAGCTACTACCAACTCATTTAAAAAATATTTGTGCCAAACAAGTCTTAGCAGGGGTGAAGGCAGTTGATATCTGTCACTTGAATGGTTACCTGCAAATTATTAAGTTTTAATAATAGAGTCTTGTTTAGATACTGTTGCACTTTATAATTTGCATCACTGATCTGCATAAGTACATGGAGTCAACTCTTATTATTCATAGATATTATGTATGAATTATGTATGAATTGTAACTTCCAAAAAAAAAATGTAGCTGTGCCAATTTACACTCATACTAATGGTATACTAGAGTTCTATTGATTCTGTATAGTAGTTTTCAAAAAATGAGCAGATATGGGAAAACTATTCGCCTTCTTCTTTTTACTTTCCTTCTTTTTGTTCTCCTCCTTCTTCCTCCTTGTTATTCAGGTAATTGGGTTCCAAAGATTGTTTGAGTTGTTCCGTTGAATTCTCTTCTTGTGATGTATAATCCTCTACTCATTGATATCCTGTTTACAAGTAAATTCCTTTCACCAGTAAGGAGAATGAAATGGTGTTAGGTTTTCTTTCCTAGTGTTTCTATATTCCAGTGGATAGATGGTTGAAAGTGTCATCGGTATTTTGTGGGTGCAATAATCCTCATGGGATAGAGCTGAGCCACTCTCCAGGCTTGCTTAGGATGGTGCTACCACAGTGTGTGGGTAACACCCTCTTCCTTCACAGCGAAGAATGGGCTTTAAAAACGGTGACTAAAGGATGTAACTACAAAGCACCACATAAGAAATTATCAACTTTCTTTATACATAAGTAATACATTAAGAAAAATCGTATTTTCTCAGGTTACTCTAGGCACAATCGGTGTAAATCGCTCTCAGGCTCCAGTGCTGTTGTCACAGAAATTTGATAACCGAGGAAGGAAAATGCCGCTTAATGCCTATGCACTGGATTTCTACAAACATGGTTCCTTGCTAGGATTAGTCCAGGATAATGGGTATGTCCTCTCTGTCTGTCTGTGTTTCTCTGTTCCCCCATCTCTGTCTCTAATGAATTAATTTAATGAATTTTAAGGAAGAATCCTCACTACAGTTTCAAGTATAGGTTAAATCATACTAAGCATACTAGATTTTATTTTTAGAGACTAATGGCAAGAAAGAATAACAAATTTGGTATTATTTTTGTTTGTGATTTTCCAGCAAAATCTTGGCACTTAGGCCAGCTCACATAACATAATGTTGTACTCTAACAATATAAATATTTGCATATGCTCATAGATATATTTTTATTTATTACTCTCCTGTTTATTCATTATTAGATATTTTAAAACTGAAAAATAATGGCATGCTCTCCAGTATTTGAGAAGAGTAGATATAGGACTGAGTACATGACAATTGTTTTAGTTCTGTGGCAGGAAAAACATTTTCAAAAATAGTAACCAGGGGTAAACACTCTTGGATTTACCTAGGATGAAGAAATTGACTTGGGCCTGAGCACATAGATGTGGGGAGGGGCATTCGGTCACACCAAAGCAGGAAACCAATTTTGTGTTTTACATAAAATGTTGGAGCAATCCTTATAGAATGAAGGTATTAAAATATCTGACACTCTTCAAAGATGTTGAGCACTGTTTTGAAAAAAAGTGACTCATTGTGAATAAAGCAGCTGTGACATTAGTAACTGATACATCTCTTTCTTCCCTTTTGAGTCTCTAGTTCCAATTTACCCTCCTGAGCTTTATTTTCCTATTTTGGTTATCTCCTGAGATGGCCAGCCTCCTATTTTTATTGCTTATCTATGATTGTGAAATTTCAACTCTTGAATTCATAATCACCATTGCCATAGATTAAATCAATATCTAGGGTCTGTGGCAGAAATAATTCTTGGAAAGAGATCTTGACAGACAAAAGTACCTGTTACTGATAAATTCAGCATTTAAATACAAGATAGGATGTTCTTTAATGTTTTGTGTTATTAATTTTCAAAATGTTGTTTTGTTTAGGATGAATGAAGGAGATGCTTATTATTTGTTGAAGGATTTTGCACTCACCATTAAATCTATCAGGTGTGTTATATATTTAAATATTGATTTTAGATTTTTTAATTATTTATAATTTGAAAAATGTTGAGCTGTTACTATAAGCCAGGTACATGAAGGTGCCATTAAACTTCTTCTGTGCTATGCATTTCAACTCCCCAAAGGCTCTGCAGAATGTCTCCTTACCTCTGTCAAATGCCATATACATATACAGGGTATTCCTGTTGTGTTATTTCTATAACAGAATTAATTCCAATGTCTAGTTGAGATGAAGTTTCATCCAGACTAGAGTCTCAGCCCCAGGCATCATGCACTGACAGGCAGCAATATTTGAAAGCTTCATTGACTCCTAGATCCTTGTATTCTCAATTGCCACAAGCAATGTGTGTCAAGGACATGATATTTCAGAGGGCTCCTTAGGGTTCTATCTGGTTTCTGGTTTATATTCACTTACATACTTTGAATTTCATGTTTTCTCCAATGTTTTCTGCAGGCTCCATCTGATTCTGACTTTTCATATTGGCCTCCTATTTTCATCTTTAACAAAACCTAGTGGGGTCCCAAGCAACACCAAACTTTATGTGGGTACCCCATTGTTAGGTTTCATTGACCATCTAATGTTGCTTAGTTGAATGTCCATCTTTCTTTTTTTCTTTTCTTTTTTTTGAGACGGAGTTTCACTCTTGTTGCCCAGGCTGGAGTGCTCTGCCTCCTGGGTTCAAGCGATTCTTCTGCCTCAATCTCCCAAGTGGCTGGGATTACAGGCATGTGTCACCACACCTGGATATTATTGTATTTTTAGTAGAGATGGGGTTTCTCCATGTTGGTCAGGGTGGTCTGGAACTCCTGACCTCAGGTGATCTGCCCGCCTTGCCCTCCCAAAGTGCTGGGAATACAGGCATGAGCCACCACTCCCAGCCTAACTGTCCATCTTTCTAAAGTCTTCAATCTACATGCAACTCAATACTTTATGGGTGTGGCTTTGTCCTATCACTTTTTATATGTTTAATTTGCCACAAATCTCTCCATTATTAGGTTCTTGCTAATCAAGTCTCTTTTTATATCTTGGATCTGAGCAGAACCAGGCCTGCTTGGATGTTTTATACAGACAGTAAAACTTTTGGGAGCAGAAGGAAACTGCTTTGTCCACTTGGAATATCTCTAATAGGGTATTCCTTGAGTGGCTCATAGTTACTCAAGTTATAATCTCCAGAGCAGCCCTAGAAACTCCACAGACTTGGAAGCTGTCTCAAAAGCCTGAGCAAGGAAATCACTCATTCGTGCATTCATCTAAGAAGTATTAAAGCATTATTGGTATGAGACACTTCCTAAGCATTTGGGCTATAAACGATCATAATTTTTTTTTGTTTGTTTGTTTGGAGACAGAGTCTCACTCTGTCACCCAGGCTAGAGTGGAGTGGTGCGATCTTGGCTCACTGCAACCTCACCTCCCAGGTTCAAGCAATTCTCTTGCCTTAGCCTCCTAAGTAGCTGGGACTGCAAGTGAACACCACCATGCGTGGCTAATTTTTTTTTTTTTTTTTTTTTTTTTTTTTTTTTTTTTTTTGTACAAATGGGGTTTCACCATGCTGCCTAGGCTGGTCTCAAAATTCCTGAGCTCAGGCAATTCACCCACCTTGGACTTCCAAAGTGCTAGGATTACAGGCAAGAACCACTGCACCTGGCCAAAGGATCATTAAATTGATATATATGCTTTAAAAAAATTCTTACATGTGTAGTGAAAGAGGTTGACTTATAGACCTTACAAACACGGTCAGAGCTATGATGGCAGATAAGGGAATGAATAACTCTACTTGCATTCAAAGAAAGAGTCTCAAATGAAGTAATTTTTTGACTAAGCCTTAAATTATGAGGAAGAAGAAATAATATTTTCAAAGTACAGACATGAGAAAGGGCCTGAAGGGTCAGGGATAGACTCCAAGCTCACTACGCCGACATGGAGAATATGGGCATTTGACAGAGATGGGGGAAGATGCTGGGTTGTTGTAAGAGACTTTACATGGAATTTGGGTCTACATCAGGAAAGGTCTTTATATTAACATTAAGAAGTTTGGGCTTCGTCTTTTGAGCAATGTGTAGACAGTGCATAAGCACGAAAGGGGCATGAGCATGCAGATTATATATATGGCAGAAATGTGTAGGTGCAAAGGCTATAACAGTCATTCAGGTGGAAATGAGTGAAGGTCTGAATTAAGCAAATTGAAATATGATGCAGAAGAGTGATTAGAAAAATATTTATGAGGTAAAATTCAAGAAATTAGTAAAAAAATTTTATGCAGTTGGTAAAGATGACCAAAGTTCCTATTTTTGTTAAGGATGCATAGGAAACAAGGATAAGCATGACACGTGGGGATGAGAATGAAAAATAGTGAGCTAGAATTTATCACATTATATCTGGGAGATATCAGTCAGGAGGAAATGATAGTAGTCAAATGATAAGTCTGTAACTCAGAAGGAAATCTGGTGTTGTAGAGACAGAATGGATCAATTTTTGTAGTAGGTCAGTGATAACACTAGAAAATAACTGGAACTCTAGTGGAAACAGGGAGGTGCAAATAATAAAAGGCTGATAAGATGTCAGATCATGATAGTTTTCAGCCCTTGATCAGCCCAGCTATACTGTTCATTCTTGGATTTCTTCTCTCCTTTTTTGTTATCTGTACATTAGTTTCTTAATGCTGCTGCAACAAATTACCACGAATCTAGTGGCTTAAACTGACACAAATTTATTATTTGATTTCTGACAGAAGTCCAAAACGTATCTTCTTGGGCTCAATCCAGTTGTCAGTAGGGCTGCATTTCTTTGTAAAGGCTCTTAAGGGACAATCTACTTTTATTGCCTTTTCCAACTTTTAGAGGCTGCCAGCATTCCTTGGCTTGTGGCTCCCTTTCATCTCCAAAGCCAGCAATGGTTCGTAGACTCTTACACTGCATCATTCTGACTCTCTCCTGCCTCACTCTTCCACTTACAGGGACCTTTGAGATTACACTGAACCAGCCCAGATAATCCAGGATTATTTTCCTATCTCAAGGTCAGCTGATTAGCAACTTTACTTCTCTCTGCAGCCATAATTCGTTCCCCTTTGCCATCTAACCCGACCTATTCATCGGTTTCTGGGGAATATATAATGTGGACATCTTTGGAGGGCCATTATCTTTTTTACACATCTAGGTAAAGAAAGGAATATTTTCCTCTTCGTAGATGTAGCTGCCTGTGGGTTTCAGTATACACTGGACACACTAGCATAAACAAAACCAAATGACTTCACAAGAGATACATGGAGGAAAGAAAAGGAATTTGCGTTGCACTGTTGAAGGGAGAAGGGATAGAGTTATGTGGAATTCGATGGCTTTTCAGACTCTCTTGGTTCTCTCTTGCCTATTAGTCAAGGAGAAGAATTGCATGGGGGTTGTTTTGTTATCTTTTCTTAAATTTTTTTACAAGTTTTTTTAGGAGACATATGTTTCTTATCATTATTCCTTATATTTTGCTAACATAATTTCATCATCTGATGGGATTTACTTCTGCTTACCCAAGGAAAGCCTTTCTTATAATATTCAATCTCAGTAAAATGGATCCTATATTCTTTTCCCCCATTTCCAGTGTTTCCCTGCGTGAGCTATGTGAAAATGAAGACGACAACGTTGTCTTAGCCTTTGAACAGCTGAGTACAACTTTTTCGGAAAAGCTAAACAAAGTCTAAAAACAAAGTCTATGCAAACCACTTAAAAATAATTCCATAGCAGTTTTTCACGTCACATTTTTGATTCTCATGCTTCTTGCCAGAAATGCATTATGATAAAGTGGAAAGATCAAGCACTTTGGAATCAAACAGAGTTGCAATCAAACCTGCCATGTTCTATCATGAATACTCACAAGTTATTTAGTATACCTGAATCTTGGTTTCTTTTTATAACTGAGTAATAATTGTTACGTCTCAGGTAGTTTGAGGATTGACTAAGAAAATGCAAGAATGTTGTATGTGACTGAATAACAATTTTTACTCTGTGAAGCCAAAGTAAATATAATATTATCAGTATTTTATAAAGTGTCAATATTTATAAAATGTTTATTAAGGCTAGAAAAAAATGAATACAATATCCTGAAGGTGAAATATATTCTCTTCAATTAGCATAAATATGATTACATAAGTTAGCTATACAGCTGTTGAGATAGTACTTTCTAGTAAACTTAAACTACTTTTTAAACATACATTTTGTGATGATTTAACAAAAATATAGAGAATGATTTACTTTATTGTAATTGTATATAAGTGACTGGAAAACCACAAAGAAATAAAGTGGGTTTGATCTGTTTACCATTGGTCTCATTGTGTTAAATATACGTATCTGTCAATCCTCTGGCACAATCTATTCATCATATATATTGTAATTTATATATAATAATCTTCCACCTTTACCCTTAGTCTCAGGTCACAATTCTAGAATCATTTTAGATCCTAAACTAAAACATAAAATTTGTTTCCTCAGAGCAAAAAGTCTGCTGTCTCCTGCCACCCAGATGTCTTACTGAAAGAGGATCTTTTGTATGCTATTATTTATAAATAGATTACATTGGCTTAGAATAAAACCTGTTTTTCGTTTTGTCTGGAGATAGAAGAATATTCTGATTTCTGAGACTAACCCATCATTTCATGTAGCATATTATAGATCTCTACCTTTTTTGGGCAAATGTCATTTTCATTACTTAAAATAAGCACTACAAGAATCCTGGACACTAAGACACTTAGAAACTAAAGTGTTTTCTTTTTTGGGTTGGTAGGCTATTAATTACTGCCACAATTTCAGAACTTGCTATTAGTCTATTCAGGGATTCTACTTCTTCCTGGTTTAGTCTTGGGAGGGTATATGTGTCCAGGAATTTATCAATTTCTTCTATATTTTCTAGTTTATTTGCATAGAGGTGTTTATAGTATTCTCTGATGGTAGTTTGTGTTTCTGTGGGATCGGTGGTGATATCTCTTTTATCATCTAGCTGCACCCTATTTCCGTAATTTTGTTATTTCAAGACCTATATAAATGGAGGTCAGGCGTGGTAGTGCATGTCTGTAATCCCAGCACTTGGAGAAGTCAAGGTGGGCAGATCACATGAGGTCAGCAGTTCGAGATCAGCCTGGCAAACATGGTGAAACTCCATCTGTACAAAAAATACAATAAATTAGCCAGGCATGGTGGCTCATGCCTGTAATCCCAGCTACTTGGGAGGCTGAGGTGGGAGAATCGCTTGAACCCAGGAGGTGGAGGTTGCAGTGAGCCAAGATCATGCCACTGCACTTCAGCCTGGGTGACAGAGCAAGACTTTGTCTCAAAACAAAACAAAACAAAACAGCAACAACAACAAAAACCTATATAAATGGAATCAAATCGTACAATATGTAACCTTTTGAGATACGCTTTTCTCACTTAGCATAATTTCCTTAAGACCATCCAAACCACTGTTTATATCAATAGTTTACTTCTTCTTTATTAATGAATAATATTCTGTGGTGTGGATGTACCGTAGTTTGTTCACCTTTCAACCCGCTGAAGGACATTTAACTTGTTTCTAGTTTTAGGTTATGCCATAAATATTCATGTTTCTTCTGTTTTTATTCTCCTATTTCTCCTTTCTTGTATTCCTGTGAATTACCTGAACGTTTTTAGGCATACTTCTTGACTTACTTATATTGTTTTTGAGTATATCGCTATATGTCGTATTCTTAGTGGTTTCTCTAGGTGTTGCAATGTACATGTCTTTGTTTTCTGTTGCTATAACAGAATATTACAGAATGGATAATCTGTAAAGAACAGAAGTTTATTTGGCTTCTGGTTTTGGAGGCTGAGAAGTCCAAGGCCATGGTGTTGGCATCTAGTGAGGGCCTTCTTGCTGCTTTACAATGTGGCAGAGAGCATCATACAGTGAGAGGGCATGAGTATGTTGGCTTAGGTCTCTTTTATCTGGAGGCTGGAGTGCAGTGGTGTGATCTGTTTACTGCAGCCTCCGCCTCCAGATTCAAGCAATTCTTGTGCCTCAGCCTCCTGAGTAGCTGGGATTACAGGTATGTGACACCACATCCAGCTAATGTTTACATTTTTAGTAGAGATGGGGTTTCACCATGTTGGCGAGGCTGGTCTCAAACCCCTGACCTCAAGTGATCCACCCTCCTCAGCCTCTCAAATTATCTTTTTATCTTCTTATAGTCATCAGTTCCACCATAGGGATCTCACTCAGATGATCTTACCTGGTCCTAATTATCTCCCAAAGGCCCCATCTCCAAATATCATCAACATATGAATCTGGGACTAAGTTTCCAAAACATGAAATCTGGGGGACACGTGGAAACCATAGCAATACACATATAACTTATCACAGTATACTGGTATTAAAGTTTTTATCACCTTATTTTTATTTAGGTTTGTTACTCCACACATTTAAAATATAATTTCCTTAAATATTTCCTCCAAATACATTGAGCACCACATTAGATAATGTGCTTCAACTCTCAAATATGATTTAAAAAGCTCATGAGAAGAATATTATATTTAGCCCTATTTCTTTTCCCTTCTGGTTTTCTTCTTTCCTTTCTGAAGTTCCACGCTTTCTTTTGTATTCATTTTCTTTCTGTTGAGAGAACTTCCTTTACCCATTCATTAAGAATAGGTTTGCTGGTGATAAATTTTCTTTATTTTTTCTTCATGGGACAGTGTTTTCACTTCCTCTTTATTCCTAAAGAATATTTTCACTGGATGTAAAACTTTTATGATTGAAGTTCTTTTAAAAAATTCAGTTCTTGAAAAATGTTGTTCCACTTCCTCTGGCCTTTAAGGCTTCAGATGAGAAACTCACTGTCATTTGAATTGGCAATTCTTCATTAGTTATATGTTACTTTTCTCTGTTTACTTTAAAGATTTTTTTTCTGACAGATTTCAGAAGTTTCAGATGTTTCTTGGCATCGCTTTCTTTCAAGTCTTACTGGGGGTTCACTTAGCATCTTCAATATGAAGTCATCTGTCTTTTGTTAAATTTGGGACTTTTCAGCCATTTATTCTTTGAATACTCTTTCAGACCCGTCCTTTTTTCCCTATCTTTCTTTGCTTCCAACGATATGTTAGCTCTTTGGTTTTGTCCTGCATGTTCCTAAAACTCTGTAAACAATTTCTTTTTTCAGTCTACTTTCTCCCTGTTATTCAGATGGGTAAATTTTATTGACCTATCTTCAGGTTTACTGATTCTATTCTATGTAATCTTCCCTCTACTATTAAAGCCTTGCCAAAATTTTTGAAGAATGATTTTGCTATTGTATTATATTTTTCCATTCAATAATTTCCACTTAGTTCTTCTTCATAACTTCTATTTCTTTTCACAGATTTTTCCAGGTTTCCATTTGTTTCCAGAGAATATGCATTTGCTTGCTGAAACAGTATAATGATATATGCTTTTAAAGTTCTTTTCAAATAATCCTAACATCAGATTGATCTTAGTATTGGCATCAGTTGATTGTCTTTTCTTACTCAAGTTTTGATTATCCTAATTATTGGTATAATGAGTAATTTTTATTGTATCTTGAGCATTTTGGATATTATGAAACACTGAAACATATTTAATATGCTTTTTGAACAGGTCATCTCGTTGGTGAGGTGTAGCCTCACCAGCTTGAGAGCCAGGCAGGTATTAGTTTCCTGCTGGGTCTTGCTGATATCACTATGACAAACGGAGCGTAGGCTTACACTACCTCCATGCAGATAATGGTGTTGTTGAAGTTTAGCTTCTCCCATACTTCCTCTGAAACATTTCCAGTGTAAAGTGAGACAGTGAATTCCCCTGCCTTGTTGCCTTTTAGTGGGGGCGTATACTTAACTCACTACTGGGCCTTGCTAACAACCTGGGAGAATGAAAACAGAGGCGTGGTTCACATGGCTTTATTGTTTCAGGGTGGGGATGGAAACTCAACAGCCTGCTTGGCCCTGCTCCCACCAGGAGTATGTATGGAGGAAGAACTGATTAGTCCTGCTTTGCTCTACCTCATTGTTCCTCATTGATGTTGATTGTGAGTGGAAGCTCAGCATTCCTCTGCTGACCATCCCAACCCCAGTACACACTGTGAAGCAGGTTCACTGAGCAGTGGTTTACCAACTTGTCTTAGTCTGATGAGAAAGAATACACTCATGCACAGCAAACTACACGAGGCAGATTTATTACTCACAGATAGGCAGCAAGGTACAACAGAAGCCTCTGATTCATTGCAAACTAGTGCCCCAAGGCTCAGGAAAGCTGGCAAGGAGGATGAAGTCTCAACTGTGGGGGCCTTACTTGCACCACAGCTGAGGGACTTTAGAAAGCAGCCTGATTTGGGTTTTATACCCCATAGCAAGAGGAGTCACTGGGATAAAGAATTTCAATGGACAGCCTATTCTGGGGAAGACTAAAACGGAGCCTGGATGATTCCAGCCAATTTCCCCTTATCTCAGAATGTTGCATTCACAGCACATTCCACAGTTGTTATTGAGGACATCTACAAGCCAGAAGGGGAGAACTGGGTCACTTCAGGGACACATGGAGAATTGTCAGGGAGGGAGGTAAAAGGAGAGTACCAATGAGCCCCACTTCACACTACCTCATTCATTCTCACTGATGGCAAGTCAGGGAGAGACTCAGATGGCCCTAATGCCACCAGGAGAGGGTAAAACATAGTGGTGATTAGCCAGACTTCTTAGTTCTTTATCAATTCTCATTGCTGCCAGGTAAGGGTAGAGGCTCAGTTTGCTGCTGGACCCTGCTGACATTATCCTGGTGAGGGAATCTGAACAACACCTGCTTCTTTTAGGCAGGGGATGGAATAATAGCTCCCTGCTCAGCCCTGCCAACACCCGCAGGCAAGGGAACCAGAGTGCCACTGTCTGCTTCTGTGGGGCAGGGGCACAGGGCAATGGATTAGCTTCTCATTCTTCTCTGCTGAAACTGCAGTGGAGGAGAATTGCTGTATTTTTATCTATTGGGGTTTGGAAGGAGTAGGATGGATGTTTTAGTTCATTTTTGTGCTGCTGTAACAGAATGCCACAGATTGGGTGATTTATAAACAATGTAAGTTTATTTGTCTCATGATTCTGGAAGTTGAGATGTCCAAGATCAAGGGAACACAGAATGGTGAAGAACGACTTGCTGCATCATAAAATGGCAGAAGGCATCATGTGGGGGAGAGAGAGAGCACATGAGAGAGTAAGAGACTGAACTTGAAGCTTCAAGCCCTTTTATAATTAGCATTAATCCATTCATGAGGGTGGAGCCGTTGCGACCTAAACACCTTCCTTTAGGCCTTACC